GTTCATCTGAGTATTGCTTTTGAGTGCCAAAGTACCATGTTTTTCACACTCCACGACTCTTAGGCAGTCTTCTGAAGACAACTTGCCCCTTATTTATGATACTATATATTAAAGAAACTGAAAATATTCAAAATAATGCTTACTTTGTGCAGAGTCCATGAACTCTAACCAAAACACATAAATGTCAGATTTGAGCAATACATTTTGATTGATTTTTAAATTCCATTTGAGGCACTATTTTTCTGAATATATGCCTGTGGAAAATATTTTTAAATATTGTTTTATTAAAAAATTGTTTCCCATAGAATAGGCAAAGTTCTTTAGGTAGATTTTTAGTAAAATATTTGAACAATTTAGATGCTATTTCAGACTGTCAGAATGATGAATGTTTTTTAATTATTTTCATAATGATTTATCACTCCAGTTTACACTAATTGAAACATTTTTTTCACTTCACCCAAACAACTGAAATTTTTCTGTTATCTTCTTTTCCTTGTTGTATACTCTGCTCTGAAGCACCTTCAAATTTAAAAAAGAAGAAAAACAGTATTGTATTCTAGGGCCATTACTAAATGTGCATGAGCTATTATAGTTAATGAAATAAGTATTATATGGTTGAAGACTAACTAAGGAAATGGATTATGGTGCCATTAAAAACACCAAGATAGGCTGAGGCTGGGTGTGGTGGCTCATGCCTGTAATCCCACATTTTGGGAGGCCAAGGCAGGCAGATTACCTGAGGTCAGGAGTTCAAGACCAGCATAGCCAACATGGCAAAACCTCGTCTTTGTTAAAAATACAAAAATTAACTGGGCTTAGTGGCAGGCGTCTGTAGTCCCAACTACTTGGGAGGCTGAGGCAGAAGAATCACTTGAATCCAGGAGGAGAAAGTTACAGTGAACCAAGATCGTGTTATTGCCCTCCATCCTGGTCGACAAGAGAAAGACTCCATCTCAAAACACAACAAAAACAAACAAAAACACCAGGGTATTCCTGGAAAAGCTATAAAAATATGCTTTTCAGTTAAGGAGAAGCATTTATCAATGCTGCCATTCCTGGCAAAGATCCCTTGACTCTAATATACTATAAAGGAGACATTTCTTATAATAAACATGAAGAGGATGCTAGCTTTGATCGTAGCATAACTATATTTCATGTAGGACTCCAGGTTCTGAAAGTAACTTTGTAATGCTCATCTCCTGAAGATGACTATAATGCTTGGCACCAGTTCATGGAGGCAGCCATGATTCTAATTGAAGTCTGATTAAAGTTTGATACACCATCTCAAAACAAAACACAAACAAAAAAACCCACCAAGATATTCCTGGAAAAGCTATGAAAATATGCTTTTCAGTTAAGGAGAAGCACTTATCAATGCTGCCAATCCCGGTAAAGATTGTTGACTAATATTATATCAAGCAGACTTTTCTTGTAATAAATATGAAGAGGATGTTAGCCTTAATCATAGCATAACTATCTCCCAAGTAGGACTCCAGCTTCTGATAGCAAGTTTGTAATGCTCATCAACTGAAGATGACTGTAAAGTTTAGCACCAGTTCATGGAGGCAGCCATGATTCTGATTAAGTCTGGGTCTAGAGAGCTACATGGAAAGGTTTGGAATAGAGGTGATTTAAACTGAAGAGAAAATTGCTAAAGCATGGGTTACACACTGCCAGCCTGTATGCCTATTTTGTTAGGCACAGACAGTGAGCTTTCTTTGTTTTTCATATTTGAAGTAATTCTTGAATATTGGCAGGCTATGCTACAGGAATCTAAACTACTCTCATTTCTACATGTCATTAAAAAAGTAGAGATGAATAGCAGGCCCCTTTTCCCTGGGGCATGCGCTCCCCAGCTACAGACACAGCATCCACCACCCGCCACCACCCCAGAGAGTTTCCCTACCTTGCAACTACCAGTTATCATCACTCCTTAAGCAGCTGTTTTCTTATGGTGAACAAGCTCTGTTTCCATGGTGCTATCAAAAGTAGGAAAAGGAAATGTAGTTTGAGAGGCTGTGTTCTCATCGATGCTCCTAATGGGCCCTGAAGATATTTGACCTTGTGACCGCGTGTAATAAGGTGACATCGAAGGGTGGTGTCCTCCTCCCCTGACTTTCAAATGGAATTTAGATAAAATTATTACCATTAAATTGCTCTTACCTTATTGCTCATGGTAACAGCTTAGTAGTTTTAAGCACAAACTCTACCTCTAAACTGCCTCAGTTCAAACTCTTTACGATTACCCACAATTGCAATTATGCTACTTATAAGTACATGACCTGGGGCAAGTTTCTGGACCTCTCTATGCCTCACATTCCTCAACCATAAAAAGGGGATGAAAATAGTACCTATATCCTAGAGTTGTCGAAAGGATTACATGAATTAATGTGTGGAAAGCACTGAAGACAGTGCCTGGTAAAAACAATGTACTGTGTAAGTGTTCACTGTTGCAGTCTTCATTTATGTTCTGATTATCCTAATGTTTCCTTTATTGTATGTTGCTCATGTCACCTCCTAATTTGTAAGTGACTGGTAAAAACAAACTTGTCCCAAGGATATCTGACTTTCACCCACTCTTTGCACCTCCATCAGTCTGCATCAGCTTTAGGGTCTGGAGGTATATTTGCATATTGAAGGAGGTAAATAACTATAGTGAATAACATCCAGAAATTCAGGACTGTGACCTTAGAGATCATCTAGTTCAGGAATTGGCAAGCTTTTTCTGTAAAGGGGCAGAATGTAAATATTTTGGCTTTGTGGCCATGTTGTCTCCGTGGCAACTACTCAGCTCTGCTAGTGCAGTGCAAAAGCAGCCACAGGCTATATGGAATGAATAGGTGTGGCTGTGTTCCAATAACATTTTATTTCTAGACACTGAAATTTGAATTGCATATAATTTTCACATGCCATTAAATATCATTCTTCTTTTGATTTTTTTTCAACCTTTTAAAAATGTAAAAACCATTCTTAGCTCTGGGCCATAAAAAACAGGTGGAAGGTTTCAGCCAGAAGTTTCACCTGGGAATTTTTTGTTAAACAGGGAAGCTACCTGGGCCCCACTTCAAACATATTGAATAAAAATCTCTGGGTGGTGGGGCAATGGAATATGTACTGCGAACATGTGTATAATTCCTAGCAGTGTAGCTTTCGTGACTACCCTTTAAGAAGCTACCCAAGGCATTCAAATGAGTGTGGAGATTTCATGGCTCTCTTCATAGATCTAGAAATGATTTATAAATGTTGGTTATAACAAGTACCACATTGCAATGTGAATATGATCACTTTTGACTTCAAATACTTAACTTTACTCTTCATATTCTTTTATTTTTTATTATCAAAATTTCTTGTAGACAAAGGTCATTATTTTCCTCTACTATGTTTAAGGAATGTGGTAGCACCTTGAACTTACCCTAAAATCACTGTATCTTAGAGAAATCCTATTTCATGTTTTCATCAGTGTAGGAATATGTGCATGTTTATTGGCATTGTTTGTAGTGACAAAAAGTAAAATCTGAAAAGAACAATTTCCTGGTGAATAAATTCTGGTGCATACTTACTTTAATTATGATGTCTGTATGTGAAAGAATGTGTTTAGCTACGTGTACTGCCCTGGGGGAGGGAAGTCCATCACACACTGATAACTGATAACAACAAAAAAGGCAAAATCCAGAGTAATGTTTGCAATACAATTTCACTTTCATTAAAAAAGGAAATACGTGGATAAAAAGCATTTAACTTTTTCTTTAAACACATCTTTATTCAGTTTTATAGTAATTATTTTTAAATAGAAAAATTTTAAGCGCAATTGGGAACAAAAACTCAACCTTTATAGGCTATTTGGTACAAAAATCCACTTCCCTGATAAGAAAGAAAATTCAGCCTCTAAGACTCACAAACCAAGGAAAAGTAGAAAGATTTAACTTTTTTATAATGTGAATTCACTTGCAAAATATCATCATCATATTTTTTGCTAACTTAAATCATCAGGTTTTCAAGGGGAGTTAACATTTATATAAAGCTCATCTAAAGTCAAGTAAAGTCCTGACTTTGAATAAGCCTTGCTTTGACTAAATAACTCAGAAAAAGACAATCCATTCTGCTCTTTTGGGCTTTATTTTCATACACAGAGTATAATTTTCATAGCCTATGATTTTTTCTATTACAGAAAGTTTCTCAGAAAAGTAATCCATCGAAATAATTGCAAATTACACAGCTCATGTTAGACTTCCACTTTGCCCTCATATTTTTTCGGTAACAGATTTCATAAGAGTTGTGGACAGCATGATTATCAAATGCTCAACTAAATTATTCTGTCTCATTTGGGCAAAATTGTCATTTCTATGTAATTACATATGAGCATTAGGTGACTTATGATTTCTAAAGTAAAGTAAGGAAAATAGATCAATCAACCAAGCATCGCAGCTCATGCCTGTAAGCCCAGTACTTTGGGAGGCCGAGGCAGGCAGATCACAAGGTCAGGAGATCAAGGCCATCCCTGGTTAACATAGTGAAACCCTGTCTCTACCAAAAATACAAAAAAAAATTAGCTGGGCATGGTGGCATGTGCCTGTAGTTCAGCTACTCAGGAAGCTGAGGCAGGAGAATCGCTTGAACTGGGGAGGCGGAGGTTTCAGTGACCTGAGATCCTGCAACTACACTTCAGCCTGGATGACAGAGCAAGAGTCGAAAGAAAGGAAGAAAGAAAGAAAGATAGATAGATAGATAGATAGATAGATAGAGATAGATCTAATAAATCTATTAACCATCGAAAATTAAATATGCTTAAATTTTAAGTAATTTTTAGACAAAAAGAAGAACTTCATTCTCTAATTGTAATTGGTTCATTTGTTCACACATCATTTATTGAATGTTTACTATGGCAGGACATATCCTAGTAAATTTTTATGTACTATTGCCCAAAATTATCATTTATCCTCTTTTTTACTCAGTAGAAAAAAGAAGCTGGAAAAGTTAGCTTACATGTAGTCATATACTAATAAATGCACAAGTAGAGATTTAACTCAGATCTGTGGAACAAAATTTTTACAGCACAGTGCCAGCAATTATTCTAGGTACTTTATAAATACTAATGCATCAGATCTTCATAATGATTCCCAAGGTAGAGACTTAGGTACATACCATTTTGCAGGTGTGTTCATTACCACAGAGGGAGGTTAAGTAAATGGCAGAGGTGGAATTCAAACCCAGGCAGCCAGACTCCAGAGGCCTTGCTTTGAACCACACTACTAGATGGCCTTTTCCATACTAACAGCTTGTTGCTCCCACTGCATTGGTCTGCTTAAGAAGGCAAACAGACACATGAGGACAGATATAATGAATTGAGTGCTGAGGTCAACAGCTGTGGCTATAGCATTTGGACCTCTGTCACATTTAGTGACGAAAAGTCAGTGCAATGCCTTAAGGAAGAAAAGAGGGGAAGGAATTATCATGCTATGGAGTAAATGATATCCTCTACAAATTTTTATGTTGACACTTTAACCCCCAACGACACAGTATTTGTAGATAAGGCTTATAAAGAGGTAATAATTAAGGTTAAATGAGGTCATAAGGGTAAAGACCCAATATGATTGGTTAGTGTTCCTATAAGAACCAACACCAGAAGGCTCACTTAGGCTTGTACTTTGGCTCACTCTCTTCTTTCTCTGTGTCTCATCATGCAGAAAGAAGAGGGCATGTGAGCACACAGTAAGATGGCAGCTTCCCAGAAGGCAAGAAAGATGCCTCAGAATGAAACCCACCTTCCCAGCACCATGATAGGAAATTTCCAGCCTCCATTATATTGAGAAATAAGTGTCTATGGTTTTAGCCATCCAGTCTATGGTGATTTGTTATGGCAGCCCGAGTAGATAAAGACACATTGAAACGAGATAGTTACGTAGTCCCCATCACAGGTCTTACAAAAGCGTTGGCTCATTTACTCAGCCTGCAGCTCTCAACCCCTCATGGAAGGGGGAACATGCAGGTGAGTGAGTGCAGAGGCCAGAATGAGTGCTGATGGGTGCCAGCAGGAGTAGAATTCTGTGCAACCTTGTGGCAGCATCTTGGGGGGTACCTGTGACTCATGGAGCCCCAGAGTGGGTGTGTTAACAATGTGCTCTTTTAGCTTTGCCATCCACATATGGCTTAAGTGTTTAATAGCTCAGTGGAGGGTTAGGGTTATAGCCTTTTGCACACATCCTCTTGGTACCCGAGTTCTTGTCTAGTATCCTGGAAGAATCAGGTTGTACAAACAAATTGAAGGGTGGTGAATATGGAGGATTTTATTGAGCAGTGGACGTGACTCTCAGCAGAATGGGGACATGGAAAGGGGATCGAGTGGGAAGGTGGTCTTCCCCTGGAGTCCTCTGTCACTGGCTGAACTCTTCTCCAAAGTCTCACCATCAAGCTGTCCCTTTGAAATCAAGCTGCTTCTCTCTGATGTCCACCTGCTTCTTTTCTCCTTTGCTGCTCTGCCACACTGAAGCTCTGCCAGTGAAGCCTGGGATTTTTTTTAACAGGATGGGGTGCAGGGAGGCCCATAAGGTAACATTCAAGCAGGAAAACAGGAATGCATGTTCTCACTTTGGGCCATCATCCCAGATTTGAGGGTATGGCCCTCACCAGGGACTACCTTCTTCTACTTAGTATTTCCCTGCCTCCTATCCATGTAAATATTGTGTCTCTGGAAAGTCCTGGGGTTAACCTAATTTAACCTAAGGCACAGATGGATCCAGGGGCTCAAAGAATATTATTAGCCTCTACCCACTCTATCTTTCTCTCACTCTCACATTCTTTCTTTCTCACACACATATATACAACACACACAAACACTTTTCATTGACTCTAGTTTGTTTCTGCTTTGCTCTGAATTGACCATATTCTTAGGTCCGTTTCCATTGTGTGCTCCCACTCTCACCAGGTTAACATGGGATCCTAGTGCATAATTGTAGTGAGATCTCAGGAGGACGAATGCTTCTTTCTCCGTAATCCTAATAAAAGGGTTGCCTAGCTTAGGTCAGAAATTTATCCTTGAACCAATTACTATGGCAAAGGCAATGTATGCAGTGACTGGCTAAGCCTGAGTTACTTACCTACCCTTGCAACCCTTAGCTTCTAATCAGCCTCTTTTGAACAACAAGCTGAGGATGGAGAGGGGAGGCTTCCCAAAAGGAAATCAGAATGTCTGCACCAGGAGAGAGAGAGAAAGGGATGCCAGGAAGGCAATATTGCTCAATTCCACCAGTGTTACAAACCTACTAGGCCATTAATTCACAATCACAGCTGTGTGCTGAAATGATCCAGGAGACTGTAAAAAAAAACAAAACTATGCCAAAGGCTTACCTTCAGATGTTCTGATTAAATGCTTTTTCTCAGAACTCTACCTACAGAAATCAAGGACTCTAGTCTCACATACTTTTATTTATTTGGTAGGTTAATGCTGAGGTTTAGCCTTTTCAGGTATAGGTTATTGGAAACTAATGAAAGAGTCCCAATTCAACCACTTTTTAATATTTGTTTAAAATACTCCTCAAATGCACCCAGGTAACAAAAATGATAATATTCCTTTCCATAAAAATTAGTGAGTAGAAGAAAATTATGTTTTGAGAAGTAAATTATAAGATCTAGAATCAATGGTTTATGGTATAAATAGGCAAAGCAATCTAAAGGAGCCAGAAAGGAGCTAAGGCCATCAGTACAAGAAACATACAATGCATTCTTATCAGTTTATTTTTGTGAACTATCACATGATGTATTCACGGTGAGTTTTGGTGCCAATAATGTATACTCCCAACAGGAAAAGAGCTGCAGTGCAGTCTTTTGTCCTCCAAGTATTGATCACTGCTAAATTTGCTAGTTTTAGTACTGCCATTGATGTCTTATTTCTCTCTTTCTAGTTTTTTGCTTATGTAAGCAATAAACATGGAAACAAAACCTAACTGAAACAAGAAGTAAGAAAGAATGTAGAGCCTGGAAGAGCTGTGAAACACCATTTTTCAGCACTGCTAAATTCCTAGCTGAAGAAACTGCTGGGGTCTTCAGAGAAAAGGGAACTGAGAAAAGGGATAGCAGTCTTCAGCTCAGAGGAGTGCCTGAACATCTAGGAATATGCGTATTAACAGAGGTATTAGTCTTGCCCTGAAACTGTCAGGAGAAAAAATGGAAATGAGAGGTTAAGTAGTAATGGGAAAATAGAATATTCTCTTAGCTGGCAGCAACAGAAAATAATTCTGCCCTCATATTCAAACAGAAATTGAGTTTATTAATAAAGAATAAAGACTAGCTCATAGAAGGACCTAGTAACAGAAATACAAGGCTTAGAATGTGAAAAGAAACAAAGGCAGACCAGAGCCAAAATCATGCCACAAGCCAGTCTGATGATGACACCACTGGTTCACCATGGGAACCTGGGCCTTGAAGTCTGCTCCTCCTGCACTGGGCTCTACGTGCCATTGTCACATGCATTCGATGGCCCACTGTAGGCATATTCAGTACAGTCAGTGATTTCTAGAACAGCAACTCCTTCATATAAGTCAGTTGTAACCATAATGCTTATATTTAACATATCTAAAGAATGTGCAATTTATCAGTATCTAATAAAAATGAAAATGCTCACAACATATACAGTAATTCCTTTTTGGGGTATATGACTTGGTGAACTCCACTCAGGATACACAAGGATCAACATATCCAAGGATGTTCATTGAAGAATAATTTTCCTGTTCAAATATTTTATCAGTGGCTTAAAGAGGAATTAAAAGAATTCTTACAAACTATCAAAGGCAGAAGATGAGATAGAGAAAAAAATAACTTTATAAAAATTAGACTGAGTGCAGTGGTCTATGCCTGTAATCTCGGCACTTTTTGGGGTCAAGGTAAAGGATTGTTTGAGCCCAGGAGTTTAAGACCAGCCTGGGCAACATAGTGAGACCATGTCTCTACAAAAAAATTGTTTTAACTAGCCAGGTATGATAGCATGTGCCTGTAGTCCCACTTACTCAGGAGGCTGAGGTGGGAGGATTGCTTGAGCCCAGAAGGTTGAGGCTTCAATGAGCTGAGATCATACCACTGTTCTCCAGCCTAGGTGACAGAGCAAGACCCTGTCTCTAAAATAACAAAAATACATAAATAAAAATCAGTTTTTTCTGAATCAGAAAGGAGATTCCAAATATTTGTAAAAGCCTGAAATAGTAGAGTAAAATCAACAAAATAGAGTTGAAAATGGGACTTTTTTTTCTTTTAGTTTCAATAACCAACTGTACAAAGACAGAATGAGGAAGACTTGACGTGGTATTTTTTATATAAAGATAACTTGATAGGTTTGAGTTAACTACAAACCTAATATACATGTTACTATAGCTCTTAGATTATGCCTGGGCCTGGTATCCAAATAAGGAAAATGTAACTTTCTTCCAATATTATGTAGAAGAGAGTAAACACTAAAAACCATAGAATGTCAGGCATGAGATGTATTCCTCTGGGTAGTAAAAGATGAACAAATTGATAGAAATTATATGACTGTGGATTTTGTTTTAGTTTAAGAAATAGCTTTCTGGCATCTGTAGGTTTCCAGTCGTTTAGAGAAGTGGTAAGTTACTATTTGAAGTAATTAAGAAGAAATTCGATAGCTGTCTAATTATTCTATATTGGGTGAGAGATTTTGCATATTTTAAAATTTCTTACTTTTTTGCATTCAAAATTTTTATTTGTTTGATAAGAAAATAGACCTGCAGATTAAAGTAAAAGAATCCTAATAGCTTTGAGAAAATACTATATTCAAGATTCTTTATCTAACTGATCTTAATCAGAAGCCGTGGGTCAAAGCAAAAGGAATAGCCCTACTGAGAAGTAGTAAAGGTGAAGATAGAGGTAAAAAATATGGTTATTTAAAAATTTTATCCCATCCTGTACAAGTCAGTACAGGATGAAAAAGACCCGACTTGTGAGGATACTTTCAATGAAAGTAACTTGAGGGGTCTGAGTTGCCCACAAATCTAATATGATAGCACACATTATAGGCATTTATAACAAAATAGCCTTATTTTGTCTCTTTTTCTCTTTAGTAAAGCACAGTGGAGCTATTCTTTTCCTTATTTGAATGAAATCTTGGGCCAGCTTTTAACTTCACTAGTTACACTTAGATGGTCATCCTGCAGTTGCTTTAAAGCACAAACACAATCTAATTTATAATGTAAAACATCCATTATTGTATTATAATCAACAGTTGGAACCTGATTTAAAGTGGAAAGACTCCTGCCTCCTCACTTCCAATAGCCAGAGCCTGTCTTTGGTAGGCTGTTTGCAGCAGGAAAGAGATGCAAAAGAAGGAAGAGTCATGGAAGGAGATAAGGTACAAAGGAAATTTCTCCCCAGTGGGTACTTTTTAAAGATGGTGACATATTCTCCGGGAGATAGTGAAGGAATGGAGCAGTTATTTGCTGCTGACGTGTTCTCTTCTGGGATTCTTTTAATTTCTGGGAACTCCCTCCAAGACCTTCCAACTGCCACTCCCTTTTCCAGGACAGGCCAGTAGATTTGGTGGACCTCCATCATCCTCCCTAGCATTCGTGCCCTGACTGGTATAGTCACTTGTATCTGCCATCCCCTTTCCCTGTCAGACCATGTACTTGAGGGGAATCCCTTTAAAAACAACTCCAGATTGACATCACAACCAGTTTCCACATCTAGCCCCCAAGATCGAGTTACCTTTAGCCTACAATTGGATAAGACAGGTGCAGTCACTTCTCAGGAGCAGCTTTCTGCTCTGTTGTTACCAGCTGTTTCATTTTTTGAATCCTGACAGAGGGCTCAGTCCACAGGCCCAGGAACACCTGTTATATTCTTAATGCTCTTGCCATGCCTCTCTCACCTCACTTAGCACTGGGAGATGGCACCACTACACCCCTCCAGCTGTCAACTACGAAGGTCTTTTGACAAATCCTCTACAAGTCCCACTCTTCTGGTCCTTTTATATCCCTGCTCTGGATAAAAGACAGGTGGGAATTGGCCTCATGAGAGCAATGAACACAAATATTTTCTTTGTAAATTTCATTTTGAGGTTCTGTTAAATCCAATATCCATCATATCTTGGTGCCATGGTCAAGAATTCCAATTAAACATTCCCTTTATACTCATATTTATTCCTATTATACTCCTCTTAACCTATTTGATAGGCCCAAATAGCAATATTTTACAGTTATGAAAACTGAGGCACAGAGAGATTAAATAATTTGCCCAAATTGTGGCCATACAGCTTGTATATTGTGAGACACGATATGAATCCAGAATCTTTTCTCCTGACTGTGCACCATGTTGTTTGGATTAGCTGGTTTCATTGTACAGAAGAATGAATCTATACACTACTTTTCCTTCAGGAAAGGGAAGGTAAAGACAGGAGGGGAGGGTATTGCTGCTATTCAACTGAAACCAAACATAAAGTTACAATCCTTGGGTTTTACTCAATGGCTACTTAAAAGCTCTCCCTTGTAGATTGTTATATCCTTTTGTGAGCAGAAAGAAAGCAGCTACATTTGTATGTCATTCTGTCAATTTTTCTGTCATATTTATGTGACACATAAAGAATAATTGACATTTATTGAGCATTCACTAAGTGCCATGCATGATTCTTGCCATGTATTATTCTGTTTTACCAAAAAAAAAATTTTTTTTTTTTGAGACAGAGTCTTGCTCTGTTGCCAGGCGCCAGGCTGGAGTGCAGTGGTGCGATCTCGGCTCACCGCAACCTCCGCCTCCTGGGTTCAAGCAATTCTCCTGCCTCAGCCTCCTGAGTAGCTGGGACTACAGGTGGGCACCAACACGCCCAGCTAATTTTTGTATTTTTAGTAGAAACGGGGTTTCACCATGTTGGCCAGGATGGTCTTGACCTCTTGACCTTGTGATCCACCCACCTCGGCCTCCCAAAGTGCTGGGATTACAGGCGTGAGCCACTGTGCCCGGCCTACCTAAATTCTTTCACTCTTTCCTCAACAGTAAGGCAGCTTGTATTGTTTATCATCATAAAGAAGAGGTCCCAGGAAAAACACTGGAAGAAAACACCAAAGACAGGAGACCAGCCTTCCCCTTTCTGTTCCACCATTTACTAGTACACAGAGTTTGCTAGACCAGTCACATAACTCCTTAGGGCCATATTTTCCTCATCTGTAAAATGGGAAAAATAATAACAGTCTTCTTTGCTTTGCAGGATCCTGGTGAGACCCAAATGAGACAACAAGTGGGTATGTACTGTCCTTATTCAAGCAAATATTATGACTGTTATTCCTGTGACTACCATCCCATGAAAGGTAGCTCAGTAGCTAAAATGACAAGTTAACCTTTAGCCGAGTGCCACATGACAAGGACCTCAGAGATGCTGTCCAACAGAGAGCAGCTACTATACACTGCAGAGGAGAGACCATTTCCTAAAAATCATTTAAACAGAAGAAAAGCAACTTTAGAGTTTAAAAAAAGAAACTCAAAAATAGTATTGTATTGCTGAGACAGAGCCAAGTTGGGGAACCTTTGGGAAACTTGTTTCTCTTGAGAACTATTAGGTTTGAAAATGAGAGCCAGGTGGGGAAAAACGGATAAGGTCACAAAGGACGAGCAGAGAGAGAAAAAAACACAATTTCGGAGAAAGCTAGCATAAAAATACAGAAAAGTATTTTTAAAATCCACTCAAAAACTGACCGGAGATTTCAAGATATGATTGAATGTTTGCAAAATGCCCCAACTGCTTCATTCCACAGTCTAGAAGACAAATAATGGAAACTTTCTTTTCTCTTTTCCAACAAGACATAACAAAAGCAGAGCTGATGTAATTAATGAAAAAAAGATGGCTATTTGAAATAGTGAAGGCTCCGAACAACAGAATGGAATGGAAATGAAGTCCACATTTAGGGACAATTCATTATTTATCTGCTGTACTTTTTATGCACACTGTGTTCTGCTAATTCTCTCTCCTGGGAGAATACCAAAACAGGTAAGTAAGTAATACAAGCATGAGTAGTTAGAAGCTATGATATGAGCAGCGGGCAGATGGAGCTATTCCTTGAATATCAATTAGCATAGTCCATCCAACTTGAAGACTCTTACAATTGAATACTTCAACTTAATGGATCTGTTTTCAAATTCCCTTTAATGGCCCTTCTGTGACCATAATATCTACTTTTCCAGACATCCTAAGTAGAAACCATTATGGACAATGTATGTAGAATTCCCTAAGGATAGCATATGGAGGGGAGAATGTGAGTTGCCAAATTTAGCAGCTCTGGAGAGCGTGTTTTTGAATTAAACTTGAATCTATGGGGATTACAGTTCATTTATGACTGACAAAACATATCGTCCCAATTCTGAAAGATAAATCCCACTGATATACATGTGGATTTCACAGGGTTTCTCAAAACTAGAAGGAAAAAAAAACCCTTTCCACAAAACGCAGTTCTATAACGATTTTGGATTTATGATAAGCCACATGTTCTTTTTGCAGTTTTCCTCAGGTTAAATGAGGAATTTTCTAAGTAGTGTGCCAACTGTACTTACAACCTGAGGAAGCTCAGATCAGAAGATTCATCCCTTACATATTATAGTAAGAGCTCTATTTTTGAAAGAAGAGAATTGAAGACTGAAATGCAGTGGCAATGGGCTTTAGGAATTTATTTTAAATAAATTTTATTTTTTGAAATTTTATTTTAAATAAATTTTCAAAAGTATGGTAGAACTGAAAACATTGTCAAGTTTGTCTTTTGCTGAATGATATGTTTTCATTTTAATTTTTTATATCAATTTTAATATTACTCTTAATTTCCTTTTTAAAATCAGTTTTAAAATTAATCAATTTTTAATTTTTTAAATCAATTTTAGTATTATTCTATTATCCTTTTCATAGTACAAATGTTAGACGTTTAAAGTGCAGATCTTTAAGTTTAATGTACTTGGCTTCATGAAAAATTATCTTTATTTATCATAGTGTTCTGATTTCACTGTGGACCATTGAAAATATTGTAGCAAACCAGTGCAGATCTGCAGATCTGCAGAACCACAGCTGAAAACGTCTACTGATTCACTTTGCTAACATGAGCTAGTTCTCTACCCTAAACAGCCGTTAAAATCTAATTCAAAAACTTCCGATGTCTAAAACCAGATACCTGTAGTTTAGGACAAAATGATTAAATCTTTCAGTGAATATTTACATTTGTTGGAAAATGGTGTTTTATTTTGTACCCATTCAATAAATTCCTTGGAATAAAATTTCATTTTTTTTCTTCCTACTTTCAAGGACCTGACATAGCTAGGATTTTACCAACCTTTGAGTAGTTTGTATCAAAACTATTAACTTATTTTGAAACTTTTTAAGACTTGTAATTTACATGTGCAGAACACTCTTAATTCCAGCTTTCCTTTTTTTCATTCTGAATAAGAAAATCTCTTGAATATCAGATATTTTTTCACAGGTTAAATCAAACCATAAACTCCATAAAACTACTAAGAATCTTTGTTTTGTTGGCATCATCTTGAATTAAGTGTCTAATAATAAGTGGTCTTTGTGCTCAAAAACCTTTATCAGTGATTTCGAAATTTTTTTTTGAACTTTGGAGATAGCCTTAAATTTTTATTTAAGCATTAAACATATTCCTATTAATTCGAGCTACTATTTTGAAACTGCTAAAATAATTAAATCACCTAATTACATGCACTCTTTCTTTTATTGTATTTTAGGTTTTGGGGTACATGTGCAGAACATGCAAGATAAATTTTTTTTTTTTTTTTTTTATTTTTCCTTTGCAAACATTCTTTTTTTTTTTTTTTTTAATTTTTTATTGGATTATAGGTTTTGGGGTACATGAGCAGAGCATGCAAGACAGTTGCATAGGTACACACATGGCAGTGTGCTTTGCTTTTCTTCTCCCCTTCACCCACATTTGGCATTTCTCCCCAGGCTATCCCTCCCCACCTCCCCCTCCCACTGGCCCTCCCCTTTTCCCCCCAATAGACCCCAGTGTTTAGTACTCCCCTTTCTGTGTCCATGTGTTCTCATTTTTCATCACCCACCTATGAGTGAGAATATGCGGTGTTTCATTTTCTGTTCTTTTTTTAAAGAGATTGGTCTGTTATGAAAATGGAACTTAATTTTATTTATGCTGGTTGAGCAACTTTCCACTGAAAGTGAAAGACTAAAAATTGAGTTTTTCCCTGTACTAAACTTGGAAAACCTAGATTTAGGATACTTAAATTCAAGCACACTTTATTCTTTTTCCTATCCTTTTGAAAATTAATATTTGTACTCTTAGGAGAAAGAATTAGTTAAATCTTCCCTCTGGCGAAACTAGCAGGCAATCTTCTCCAGCATTTAATTTCTTAAGGGATGGAAGGAGGGTATCTGTAAATTTTTTTCTCCTTTATCTGTTACTCTGAAAATCAATGCATACTTAAATTCCATCCTCCTAAACTTAGCCTAAGACCTGAAACAAGTAATTTACACATCAAAAATAAATTTGCCCATGTTAAATTTATTTGAATACTGGAAAGTTAGACTAGGGGAAGTGCTGGTGGGGAAAAATTACTTTTTTTTTTTTAACTGATGTCACTTCTGGAGTAGTTGAATTTTTTTTTTACAACTGGTTTGTGTTTCTTTTCTAATAAGTAAAATCCTACCAAATGTTGTTTATTTTTATTTTATTTTGATATAAATACTTAATGTGAGATGTCCCCTCTTAGGTTTTTAAGTATACAATACCATAGTGTTAACGATAAGCACTATGTTATACAGAACATCTCTAGAATTCATTTATTTTGCATAACTGCAACTTCAGGCATTGCTTTTGAAATCTGAAATACGTGTTCTGATGCCTCAATAGCAACTATGCTTTTGTTCTCAAAAAATAAATAAAACACAGATGAGGGTAAAAACCAAAACACATTTCTTGAACTAAAGAAATTATCAAATATAGATCCTCAAACTGCATTAAAACCAATAAGAGTCTGTTATTTTTCTTAAACATTTAATTTTCAATTCATTCTGGATATTTACTCCTATATATCTTAGAGCAGAGGTTATTATTTGCTGAAATAGTCAATTGCGGCTTTGGCTACATTAACTGATAACCAGTAGAGGTCGCCACCTACCATATTCTAGCAGGTCTGGGAGAGGGGAAAAAATTATGAATGTTTGGTTAGTAAAAATGCACAGAGGTCAGAAGTTTTCAATATGAAGCTTTCCTCTTGGAAGCTTTGCATAATTGAACCAATATTCAAGTCCGAGGAAAAAACAATAAATAAAAATAATGCATCCAAGATGTTAGTGTCATAGAACTTTAAAAAAACAGAATTTCTTAGAAATTACAAAAAATTCTTCTAGTTGACTTAGTTAATACAAATTCTTCTTCATGTCAAAATCTTGGAAAGAAAACCTCACAATGTTATCAAATCCGAACACAGTAAAATGCATATATTTGTAAAATGGCATCGTGATCTCTTTCTACTAAGCATCTCAAATTTTTGGTTTTGCCCTCACATATTCTATGACTTTCAGCCTGTGTTTTAATTTTTTTATTAGTTGTATCAACTACACAGTGAAAATTAACTCATCATAGTGTTCAGGTGACCTGTGGTTATAACAACTTACAAAGCATATTGAAGCTTTAGTATATAATTACTGCTCTTGGGTTTTCCAAACAAAGTTTAAACTTTAACTTATTTTTTTTAAGTCATGATTAAACTAAAAAGAAAATACTTCTTTTCTTATAGTTTGGAGATAGAATCTATAGATATCTTGACATAAGAAAATATCTTCCCTTTAGAAGAGGGAATAAACTTATACTTGATAATTTAGAATGTTCAAATGGGTAGTGATAGGCAATTCAAACTAGGGAAGGCTTTTCCAATAAACAGAATGTTTTTAAAAATAGAAATGGTTATTTCAGAAGTTCAAATGGTAAGCTTACTGTCACTAGAAGTGTTCACATACATGAGTAATTATTGAGATGTAGTGAGAATCTTGATAAGAATATGTTAGGAATTTGAAAGCTCAGGTTTGAGGGGAAAGCTTTACTAAATTTCTAAGAAAGATCATGTGTAATTTTTAGATTTTTTGCTTTAAATTGATGACAGTGTTAATGATAAAATTACGTTGCTTTAGGATAATGCTACGTTATATGACAAATACATCTGAGCATTATAGTGGGTTAACACAACTGTTTATTTCAAACTCATGCACTATTCCATGCTGTTTTTAATGGTCTGTTGATGACTCTCCTTATATGACAATTCAGGGACCCAGATTCTATCAATTTTGTGGCTCTGCCATCTCCTAGGCTGTTGAAATAGTTTGCCTCTACCCAACATAAGGGGAAAGAAACAAAAGAGAATGAATGTCTACTTCTTAACCTGGAAATAACACATTTCCTTCTGCTTGTATTTCATTGCAGAAGGCTAGTTAGATGACCCCACATGGATTGAAAGAGAAAGGAAAGCACAAATATTAATACACAGTTGCTGTCTTTACCACTGTCGGTCCCTCTGACAACTGAACATTTGTGTACATCCTTCTTCTTACACATATATTATCTCTACTAAGGAGTCAACGCAGAATTGTATTTAGTAACTTGATTCAACTAAAAGTCCAGAAAATCTGAGTGATACATATCCTCTCCATCAGGTCTAGATGTGACACCTTATAATCTAAGTGACTATTTCCTAAAGTAGATTGCATCAGTGGCCCAAATCTTAATCACTCCTTGTATCCGCGTTCTTTGCCATGTAACTGTGTCCAATCCCTGTGCATATAGTAGTGTTACCATAGCCTTTTACTCTGGTCTTAGCCAGGTGACTTGCTTTGATCAAAGGAATATTAGCAGATAAGATGTAAGCAGAAGCTTGCCCTCTACTTTCAACACGAGAACATCCTCAGATCTAGTCTACAGAAAGATGAAAGACACACAAAGCAGAGCCAGTCACTTCAGCCAAGGCATCCTCAGTTAGCTGACAGCCGGTCAACCTTCAGATAGATGAGTGATCTAAGCCAAGACAGAGCTGCCTGGCTAAACCCCAGCTGATTCTAGACATGTGAGCAATAAATGCTTAATGTTGTATGACACTTCGGGTTATGTAATTGTTTATTATGCAGGCTTATTGTGGTCATAAATAACTGATACATTTACCAAACTAGACTATTAACTCTTAGCGGAAATTTGCTTGTTTTCATTTTCTATATAAAATATAATGCTATGCTTTCTCATACTGGAATGCAAACTTTGTTGAGTTCATTTCAATAGGTAGCAAGATTAAGCTAGATAAATGTTGTAAATATTGTGAAACATAAGCATGAATTAACTTTTTATATCTTTGTAGCACTTTTAACTTTTCAAATCACTTTCAGATCTTCTTTAACTTGATTTTTGTAGCAGCTTTGATGGAAGGGAAAATAGATATTAACTCTGTGTTCCTATCAAATCTCAGTGACTAAGTTACTACTCCAATTACAACTGGTTAATGACAGAACAAGATCATACACACTGGAACCCATCTCTCCTGCCTTCCAGAATGTACTCCCATTGGTGAATAGGCCTTCATTAGAGAAGTAAGGAGACAACAATTTTTTCATAGCTATTGTATGGTAAACATTGTTATAACACTCTTACCTCATCAATGGATATTTTCAAGGGTAAACTTTACTCCTTCAGAAATCTCTGATAGGTGCTTATGC